GGGGGTCCTCTGTGAGATACCAGAAGGATTTGGGCAAAAAGCACTTTCTTTCACAAGAAGATGTATTATTTCAGAATTGCGATGACAAATGAAGAAAATTTGGACTAACAGGCCAGGCAATCTGGTATTGTAATTTTTCTTCATACAATGATAAAGCAGCCTTAAGTATCAAATCAGTTGACCCTCTGAATAGCTAAAATATGGGGGAAAGGTATAGCAAAGTCAAATCAGTTACATCTTGACAAAGAGGGGAAAGCCAAGGGGCCCCAGGAGTGGCAAGGAAGTTCCCTAAAAATGGCAGAATTGAAGATCTGTTGCTTGCTGTTGGGAAATGGAGCGTGTGAGCAAGAGATTCTTGAAATATCCTTGCGTGGGGGACTGTGCTAGTAAAAACAATTTTGTAACCATGCTCGTCTCAGCAATAATTAATAAGAACTACAAAGTCCTTCCCCAGCTTTATCCTTTAAATGTATCCACTTCCACAGGTCTGTGGAGTCCTGACCTTCATGCCTCCTTTTAGGGATTCCAGCTGCCTAAAGCATGCTTGCAGTGCTATCTGATCTGTCAACAGCTTTTAATACCAGCATTTTGGGGGATTCTGTTATCCTGTGAAATTTAATCTCACCTATTTAAGCTTGCAGAAAGTACTGGAGGGAATTATTAACAGATTTCGCTCATCTTCTTAGAGGATAGTGCTGAGTGATTGGCTGGTTTCCCCAAGGACCCTAGCCGGGGAGCACTGGTGTGTCAGTAGCATCCTATTTAGCATGTGTGTGAGGCCACAAGGGAGCCAGAGAGACATTTGGAATCAGAATTACATCAATATGCTGATGATGCCTCGGTATCTTCGTCTCATCAAATCTATATCCTTTAGCATTAATGTTTTCTTAACTAAGACAGAATGGCCTCCACACAGCACACGGCTCCTGGCTCTAATTAGACAGCTAGAAACCAAGCTGACAACACAATGGAGCAAGACCAGTGGCCTCCACGTCACCAGGGAACTTGTTAGAGATGCAAATTCTCAGGCCTATCCACACCTCCCAAATCGGAAACTCTGGGGAGAGAGTCTAGCAATTTTGTTTAAGAAGCCCTGCAGGTGACTTATTCCTTGTGTCCAGGAGTACACTCAAGTTTAAAAACCTCTGCATTAGAGAAATGGAATGAATTTGTCACTGAAGAATCTACTGAGTGATGCCTCCTTGTTTTGTAGATTAAAACATTTATTTAGCCAATCATATGGTTCTTGGCTACTAGCTCTGATACAATGGTCTCAAACCATTCCATGTTAACTGCAACTGACTTCTGTCCCCATTCATATTTGATACTAATGGATGAGAAGACTCTCTACTGTTCTGTATTTCTCTCTCTCCAAGAATGAGAGTTAGACTGTGCCATGGGACTTTTGTATGCTGGCATGTCTGATGGTGAGGCACTTTACTAACTACAATTCATGTTGCTCCCAACATCCTTATGTTGGTTTAGAGTATGTCCTAGTCTCTCGAAACTCTCATCTTGAAATGGATATATGACATGGGACCTCTACTCGGCCTTGCAGCCTTACCAGTGCAGTACTGCCCTATCTTGAGCCCCTTTAGAAGTACACAAAACCAAGTAATGGCCATGATGGATTCACACTGGAACCTCTACAGATGCTGGAAATCCCCAATTTTAAAAAAGAATAAGCCTGGGCCAATGCCCCAACCCTGCAATCTTTGCACAATGTGATAATGTATTACTTATTACTCCTCTTATGTTGAGAAGTTCTGCCTAAAGTTACCAGATGAGCCTTCAGTAGTCCAGTGCTATCACAAGTCTCTAATTTAGAGGGTATTAGCCCCTGTCATGCTAAAAGCCTTGGGTGTTGATTCCTCCTGGAAAACATACATCCACAATCACTCATTGAACACTTTCTGTGTGGCAACTGTTGTGCTGATCAGGGGGAGACAAATGTGGCCAAGAGAGATGGTCATGGCCCTTGCACCCACAGAGCTCAAGGTTAAAAGTTTTAAGACCATATAAAAAATTGGTTTCTAGGCCGGTCTCAGTGGCTCAGCCTGTAATCCCAGCACTTTGGGAGGCCAAGGTGAATGGATTGCCTGAGTCTGCGGGTTCAAGACCCACTCGGGCAACTTGGTGAGACTTTGTCTCTACAATAAATAAAAAATTAGCTGGGCATGGTAGCGTGCGCCTGTAATTCTGGCTACTTGAAAGGCTGAGGCGGAAGGATCACCAGAGCCCAGCAGGTCGAGGCTGCGGTGGCCAGGAGCATGCCACTGCACTCCAGTCTGGGCGACAGAGTGAGACTCCAATTCAAAAAAAAAAAATGGGTTTCTTGTAAGTGAATAATAAAGATCCAAACATATGCTCCTTCTAGTTTTAATTAAGACCAGATCTACCTGAGCTCCATTAGGTTTTACTGCAGGCAGGTGATCCATGACCCCAACGACTCGCTGCCTCTCCTCAACATTTTGGCATCCAGAGTGCAGTTCCCCGAGTGCTACCCTTCAGAGCTATACCTCGATTCTGACCCTTTCCCTCCTGCAATCTATCACCTTGGCCAACAGGCCCTGATGGCCTCTCTGCTTCTGACTCTGCTCCCCATAGTAAATTCTCAGCAGAGTAGTCATTTTCGAATATGAACAAGAACTTAGTGCTTCTCTGCTTAGAACAGTCCAATGGTTTCTTCTTTCATGGAGAGTAAAAGCTGAAAGCCCTACGAACGCCCACATGACCTCACCTGACTATCCACATATTGTCGACTTTTACTCTAGTCTAATCACACTGGCTGTTTTTTCTATTCCTTCTTTGGTCAATGGTGAATGCACTTGGCTCAGCCTGGCATGTTTTTCTCCTAGACGCCCACCTCTCCTCAACTTCCTCACCTCTGCTCAGAAACCATTACATCAAAGAGGCCTTCCAGGATACCCTGCTTACAAAGACCTACCCTTCCTTCTCTTCTACCACACCTCTCCCCCCAACACCCCTGTATTGATTTCTCTCCACAGCTCTCCTCACCTCTCGATCTACTATTTATGTGACGATGTATTTGTTCAGTCACTAGGTGCCTTCCACTGCTAGGTATAAACTCCATGAGGACATAAACCCTGTCTGATTTGTTTACTGCTATATCCTAATTTTCTAAAGTGATGCCTGGTACATAATAGGTGCTCAATAAATGCAGGTTGAATGAGTGAATTCACAAATTCCTATCTCTACCCTCGTAAGTGATTATCTGCTCCCAGTTGTTTATATCTTCTACCTGAGACAGAAGAAAGCTACCATTCATCTCCAGTTACCCTCAATGGCTGCGTTACAAAGTGTAGAGTACATGGATAGTGCCATTCGGGGTATCTTCCTCTTCCAGTTCTCAGGAAATAAACTTTTGTAATAAAAACTTCACTAACAGTCGACTGAGGGGAATACAGTTTAAAATATTTAGTTCAAAACATAGTCCTCAAGTACTTGTTATTTGTCAGGTCCTGTGCTACATACAGGGATATAAAGATATATAAGATTAGCAAGTCAGGCTGGGCTCAGTGGCTCAGCCTATAATCCCAGTGCTTTGGGAGGCCGGATGAGTGGATTGCCTGAGCCCGGGGGTTTGAGACCCGCCTGGGCAACTTGGCGAGACCTCATCTCTACAATAAATCAAAATTAGC